TAGTCATTGTCAAATATTGTAGTGCTCCCACTGTACTTCTGTATTTGAATTGTTCTTCAGCTGATAAGGGTATTCCTTGTTCTCTGAATAATTTTTCAGCAGAACCCATTGGTGTAGACATAGGTTTGCATTTTTCCATGTTTACTCTTTTCAACAAATCTAAAGCATATCGTCTCTGTGACAGTATGATACCATCTCGTGTTTTCTTGACTTCAATACCCAGAAAATACTCAAGATCACCCAAATCTTTTACTGCAAAATCTATTTTCAATTTCTGAATCAACCTTTCGGTTGCTTGATCAGAGGAGCTCACAATAATTATATCATCAACATAGATGAGCATATAGATAGTTATCTCTCTGTTTTTGAGAATAAAAAGAGATGAATCAGCTACTGAAGCCTTGAAGCCTAACTCAATAAGCTTTCCAGTCAACCTTGAATGCCAAGCTTTTGGGGCTTGTTTCAGGCCATAAAGGGCTTTCTTGAGCTTGCATATGTAATTCTTTGGTTTGGCTGAGTCTTGAAATCCTGGTGGTTGTCGCATGTACACTTCCTCTTTCAGAATTCCATGCAAAAATGCATTTTGGATATCAACTTGTCTCATATTCCAGCCCTTGGTTACTGCTAGCGAAAGAATGACCCTGATTGTTGACGGTTTGATCACAGGGCTAAAAGTATCAGTGTAATCAACACCAAATCTTTGCTTGAATCCTTTGGCAACTAATCTTGCTTTTAATCTTTCAACTGACCCATCTGCTTTTCTTTTCACTTTATACACCCATTTACTATCAATGAGATTTATTCCAGGTTTGGGTGGAACTAGATCCCAAGTGGCATTTCGTTTTAGCGCTGAGAGCTCATCATTCATTGCTCCTCTCCATCCTGGATGTTGCATGGCTTCCTGCAGGTTTCGAGGTTCAGTAGCAGTCTCTATGATCGGAGTTGTGATAGTTACAGCGCTTGCGAATTTTCTTGAGGTTTCTGAATATCTGATAGTTCCATCAGTGAATTGTTTAGCTTGTACAATGTTATTTCTCAACCTTGTTCGCATTGGATGTTGACTAGCTGCTTCAGTTGGTTGATCAGACACATGTTCATGAGTTTGGTTTTGAGCATTGATCGAACTGCTCTCAGCTTCATATTCTGCAATTTCCTCTGAACTTCTTGTATTATCTGCAGAAGATAAGCTGACACCAGACAAGTTGTCACTAGCAATATTATCAGTTTGACCATCATTCATATGGGAATTACTAACAACTGGTTCAATATCTGTAAGAGCATTTTCAGTGTAAAAACTAGCAAGTTTGGCTAAGGCTGGAAGTAGAACAGGATGATGTGGATTTGTGGTTTTGTTTGGTGGCTTAGATTCTTCAAAAGGAAAAATATTTTCATCGAAAACCACGTCTCTAGAGATGTAAATACGTCCTGTACTTCTATTTAAGCATTTATATCCCTTATGAGAAGAACTATAACCTAAGAATATACATCTAGTAGTTCTGAAACTCAGTTTCTTGTTGTTGTAAGGCCTTAAATTAGGCCAGCAAGCACAGCCAAACACCCTAAGCATGGAGTAGTCTGGACTTTTACCAAACAATTTATGAAGTGGTGTGTCTTGTTGTATGGTTCGGCTGGGCATTCTATTTATAAGAAAGCAAGCTGTGTTGAAAGCTTCATCCCAGTAGGATAGAGGCATGTTGGCTTGAGCGAGTAAAGCAAGGCCAGTTTCTACAATGTGTCTGTGTTTTCTTTCGACTAACCCATTCTGCTGGTGTGTGTGAGGACAGGAGATATGATGTTCAATGCCTGTGGATTTGAAATAATTGTGTAACCGATGGTATTCACCCCCCCAATCTGATTGGACGGAGCGAATTTTGGTATTTAGCATAGTTTCAACATGTTTTTGAAATTGAAGGAACACAGACTCAACATCAGATTTGCATCTCAGAAAGTAAATCCAAACATAACGACTAAAATCATCAACAAAGGAAACATAATATTTGGAATTATTTACTGACGCAATGGATGGACCCCATACATCAGTGTGAATTAATTGAAGGGGTGCTGTAGATACATGCTGAGAAGAACCAAATGGCAATTGATGTGCTTTCCCTAATTGACAAGCATTACAAATTGAGGAAGAGGGAATATTAGTATCTATAGCTAAATTATTATCTTGTAGAATTCTAATGGTAATTGGAGATGCAGGGTGCCCTAGCCTTCTGTGCCATTGTTCTTTCGAAAGTTTGGCTGTCAGCAAGGCTTGACTGAAATTATGCGGTAGAACGTATAGGCCATTCTTACATCTACCGTGGAGCAGGAGTTTCTTCGTGACTCGGTTCTTAACCAAAAAATAGTTTGGGTGAAATTCTACAACAGCATTATTATCAGATGCTAGTCTTTGTACTGAAATTAGGTGCTTATTGATTTTAGGAGCATATAGGATATGTTTCAGAACAAGAGATGAACCAGAAATTAATGAATTCCCAATATGAGAGATAGACAAACCTGCGCCATTTGCAACCTGAATTTGGTCGGTGCCAGTGTAGCGTTCTCTGGTGGTAAGCCTCTCTAGGTCATTGGTGATATGATCTGTGGCTCCAGTGTCAACATACCAGTTTGTGTCACTAGTGTATCCACTAGTTGCCAAAGCTGCTTGTTTGAGATTATTTTCGGCTTGATATGCCTGATCAAATCTGTGCCAGCATTGCAAAGCATCGTGATTGGGCTTACCACAAATCTGACAGACAATGCCTGAGCTGCTTTGTGTCTTTGATGGTTGACGTCCAGGATTGTTCACAGTACGCCTTGATTGTCCATGACCACTATTTAACTGACGACTACGACCGCGACTACCTCGACCTCCATTGGCACCTCCACGAATGGATATCCTATTGACATTGTTAGCAGATGAAAGTTGCTCAAATGTACCCTTACGCAAGTGCCGCATCTCATAGCTCAGCATGTGAGCATACACGTCGCTGACAGTGTATACATCTGTTCTGGTTGTAATGCTTGTGACTAGAGGATCATAATCTGGACCAAGTCCTTGCAGCATGTAGGCGATGAGTTCTTCATCCTCTATTCGCTTGCCAATGGCAGCAAGTGTATCACCAAGATGTTTTACTTTACGAAAGTAGTCAGCAATTGTCATGTCCTTTTTCTGGATAGTAGAGAGTTCCATACGGATCTGCATTGCTCTTGCTCGAGATGTGGAAGCAAATTGTCGCTCCAGCGTAATCCAGGCTTCTCGTGCAGTGGTGATTCCAACCATCGTGCTGAGAACCTCCTCAGTGACTGATGAGTTGATGAGGCTGAGTACCAGCTGGTCCTGGGGGTACCAGACTGTGAACTCAGGGTTGATGATAATTTTGCGATTCCCTGTTTCTTCACTTGGTTCAACGGCGATCGTCTGGCTTGGTGCAGGCATGGATCCATCCACAAAACCAACAAGGTTTTGGCTACGCAAGTAGGGAAGGATTTGGGTAGACCACAGTAGATAATTTTCTTGTGTAAGCTTAACACTAATCACCTGACTGATCGACGGAGAAGACATTGTGTTGATTGGGATTGACATGTTTAACAGCAGAGGCTATGGATCTCGTGGATCTTATTTGGGCTCTGATACCATATCAAGTTTATGCAAAACTGTACCTCACACTATTGAGGACATATTCTATTTATATTGGCAAAAGATTAACTAATAGATCCGATTTCATAGGAAACTAACGAAGTAAGCCTATTCTTATGGCATGACCAACTTCAAGCTATTCTAATGGATTGACCAATTCTAACAACGCCAATTTCAGGATTGTCCAAGAGATCCGAAATCTGGCAATCGACTTTCGCTTCCAAAAATTCCACTCCAACGTCGTTGCAATGGACATAGGATCTCTCCGCCATGGTTCCCGCCAAGTGTTTGAAGCTAGTCAGAGTTCGAGCAAGAGAATCCCTAATCTGGCGAACTTTAAGAGATCGATCGGCAAGATGTTGGGGATTGGAAGGGCGATAGAAGAAAATGGCGGGCGTTAAGGAGGGAGCCGCCATTTGATCGATCAATGAAAGTTCCCGGTAAGTTAAGGATGGAGGCGTTGGAGAAGAGGGCTTGATTATGTCGTTCGAAACGATCTCGACGCTGATATTTTCCATGAATGCAAATGCAGAATCACAACTGAAACCTTTTCTTCTCTGCTGAAGCGAGCAGGAGGTTGACGATGATCAGGAATATCGATCGTTTTATTTTTCATTTTATTAAATTATATGAATTTCAAATCTCTGCATCTAACCAATATAGAATAGAAAATGTATGGTTAGGTCTAATATTTGTACGCAAAGTTATTAAATATTATTGGGAGGGGACTACCATTATAAGCTTTTGCCAATGGACGATAATTAAAATTTTAAACCAATAAAATTTATTATTTTTTCACATGGGAATGATCATACCTTTCTTTTTTCTCACGTATTCAAATATAAAAAAGTCTTACCTTTCCTAATTTAATTTAGGGGAGCATCATGCGTTTATGATCAAATAATACCCTCTCTATTCGCGTGAGACTTTTTGAGGAAGCCCAAAAACCATGAGAGTTTATGTTTAAAGTGGACAATATCATATCATTGTAGAGAGTATGTTCGAACATGGTATCCAAAACCATGCCCTAAACTTAACCATGTCAATAGAATTCTCACAATTGTGGAGAGTAGCGTTTATCTAACATGGTATCAGAGCTATCCTCAAATGTCGAACAAAAGACTTCAAAAGAAAAAAATGAGTCGAGCCTCGATTAAGGAGAAACGTACTTTGTTCGAGTGGAGACGTTGGATAATGAAAGTCCCACATGGGAGAAGTGTCCATCAAACAATTTTTACTTAAATTAATAAAAATATTGTTGAAGTTTTCATTTATAAAATATTTTTATTGATAATACCTTTAAATATTTTAAGAATATGAATTAACTTTCAAAATATACATTAAAGTTTTAATATTAATGGTTTATTTGTATTTGTAAAAAGTTTTAATATTAATACTTTCAAAATGTAAAGGAAAGCAACTCAGAATCTCGTTGGAATAACTCCATATCTTCTTCCTTGAGCGTTACCCAAGCCTCAATCCCGTCGCCGTCTCTGGTTGTCATCAGAACCACCACATTCTTATACGGCCGGCTCGGACTGCAAACCCACGACGGCTTCCCCCACCCAAAGTCCGCTTCATATACCGGAAACCTACACCAGCTCGTGAAGTTGCAGAACTCCACCTCTCCGCCCGCCGCGTGCCCGTGTTTCCCCATCTTGCTCCACATATGCGACGGCACGCCGGCATGCTGTAACTTCCTCACGAGATCGCTGTCGATCTCTTCTATTGCGTTTCTTATCTGGTTCACTAAGTATTGATGTCGCTTTTCGATTTCAGTCTCTGCGACGGCGATGGCGAACCACCAGAGGTTGCCGGAGGAGTTCGGCGGTAATGGCGGATCCATCTTGCCGCGTATGTTCACGGCGTGGACTGCGGCGAAGACTTTTTCTTGTTCTGAATGTGGATTTATCTCCATGAATCGCTTCCATAAGAATGCTGAAACGGCTTCCACTCTCGTTGGCGGCTTCTCCAGAGATCCAGCGGCGGCCTCGTGCCGGAGTGCGGCTATGTTTGCTTTGTCGAACACGAATCTTTTCGTCACGATCTTGTCGTTTTGAACAACTTTGCTTCTCTTCAATCCTGGAATTTCCTTCGGCGGAAAGTACTTTGCACTGTCAAATAAGGGTTCCGAAACCTGCATTTCAAAAATTGAAAAAGAAATGTTGAGACTCTGTCGATTTCTGAGAATCAATGAAATTAGGGCTTTGAAATCGTGTTTGGTGGAGAGTTAATTTAGAAACCTGATCGCTATCTCCTCGATTGATGGCTGCCCACTCTCTGACAAATACGGTGGCGGAGAATCCGTCGACGAGCTTATGAGTGATACACAGAGCAATCGCCACTCCGCCGCAGTCAAACAAATTCAATCGGACGGCGAGAATTACATCTCTTCCGATCTCCGGTTCGACCGAATTGGCGTAAGGCTCAAACGGCAGCAACCGATGAAGGACTTTGAAATCAGGATTTTCCACCACTTCCGATAACTCGCAACCGACTCGTGCTTCAGAATACTCAACGCCTCTGTCGTTGCAATCAACGGAATATCCAGCACTTGACAAAGTTCCGGCGAAAGGATAGAAGAGAGTCAAAATCTCCGATAAAGACTTCTTCAACTGACGACTTCCAGAAAACCGATCGGCCCCGGGATTTTCAACGGCGGCATAGAAGAAGATGATCGGAGTATAATTGGACGGCGAAATCTGGTCGAGCAGCGAAAACTTGAGGTTTCTGCGCGACGGCGGAGTTGGAGAAGACGGCGAGATTATTTCGTCGGCGATCACCTGAATTAATTCGATCGCCATCCTCTCTGAATACAGAAGCTTTGGAACAGATTATGGCGGTTCTTATACGGGAAAATGGGTAATTATTTACAAATTTATTTAAAGCTACGGAAAGTTGAAGCTGATTATATAAAGTAAAATTTTAATGAATTAGTCAACGCTTGACCTTTGACTGAAGAATTGTGAATTATGATGCGACATTACCTTATGGAAATTATATTATGAGTGCCGCATATATTAAACTGTTTTAATGTAATAATATAATGTTTGAAAAAATAAATAAATACATAAAATAAACAATAACTACTTCTCGTCCATAGGTTTCAGAATATATTATTAATTCTTTAGAATTTAATATATAAATGCTGCTTATTTTGAATTGAATTATGACCAAGTCCCCCGATAATTTTTAATTTTGGAAATAACGAGATTAAAAAATATAGTTCTGACAATCCATGTCAGCTCAAGAAATACAAGGAAGAAACGACACGTCGGCACATAAATGAACAATAACAAATAAACAAAATGTTGTGGCACCCAACATTCCTTGTGATTATATTCTTAATGTTTCGACTCCTAGTCATTATGGATCTATTTAGTTGGCTCATCCTTGTTACCAATCTTACGTCCTAGAGATGAAGAGTTTGAAGGTATATTTTTCAGCCCCCGTTGCAACGGAAACCTTAACTTGTCCTACCTTAGCTTAAATTTAATCATGTAATGGCTGGAAATAGTAAGTTCGGTCCAAGCAAGTAAGACTTTAGTCATACCTTTTGACTTGGACTTACTCGTTTAGCTCGGTCGTCAAGGCAACCTACCTTTTTAAGAGTAGGGAGTGAGTGTCTTCCATCAATTTTCCTATAAATGACGGCTTAACTTAAGCATCTAAAAGCTCAATATAACTTCTTCATGCTATCAATATGGACCTTTTGGCTTGTTTGGTGCATTTAGGAGTTACCTCAACCAAAGTGTCGCAGAGTTGACCCTTTGAGTTGAAATGGGTTAGAATTTTTTTTTTTTTTTTTTTTTTTTTTTTTTTTTTTTTTTTTTTTTTTTTTTGATTGATGGTCCAAAGGACTTGAATAGGGGTATACAAACCGATCTAACCCAACCTTCTATTTTTCAAGTTGGGTTGAATCGGGTGGTCGAGAAGAAATGGAGATTACAAGTGATGTTTGAAGCCATTATGTGAGGATTGAAGATCATACGAACTGTATGTATACTGAGGATAGAAAGCAGAAGAGCAGGAACATGTTGAGCACGAGAATTCGAATGTAATGAAATCACTTCTGTCCTGATTAACGAGGGGAAAACAAGGATATATCAACAAATTGGCATACATAAGATTAATACGAAGACCTAAGCCAAGAAGCAACGATTAGCATCTCTCCACAAACACTCAGAGCGCAGCTTTCAGTCTTCAGCGAGTGAAAACTATGAACTGGTTCGGTGCTTCCATGGTCTTAGCTAACATACTGCTTCTCAAGAAGGCTTCCACAGAATGCCAAATCAAAACGCTCTTCTGGGGGATCTCCAATGCAGTCAAACACTGCATCTGCATTTACAAAGTCTTCCTCGGCCGTGTACCTGAAACACGGATTAACGCAAACATCTTATCACGAAGAAGAAAAGAAGGTAGATTCGTATGTGTTTTAGAACCATAACTACATATAGGAGCAGACAGTAAACAATGGAAGGAGGAAAACTAGTTATGATCCTGCCAAAGAAATGAACAGAATAAGGCATGATCTAGTATGAAGAATATGTCCCAATAAACTAAGGCCATAGACGAGAAACTCACCCACTCTTTGTCACTATGCACTTCATTCCAGCCGATTTGGCAGCAGCAAGGCCAATGGCACTATCCTCCACCACAACACAACTACACAAAATAGAAACTGCATAAATGAGACTACTCTTGTCAAAAGAAGATACTTTTCAAGTGGTCCTATCAAATTTTCATGCATGCTAGCTGATGGAACATGCTGTCGTACCTAGAAGGATCGACGCCCAGGGTGTTGGCTGCTAAAATATAGATAGCCTGCAAGGAAGAAAGCATTTTAGTGGTTACAGAGCACTAACTTCTCTTTAAGTCTAGTCAAAAAATTTAGTAAACCTGAAGTAGATGGATGTCTAACATGTTTCCAGGTGTGACCATGTGAAATAGTAAAGAAAAAAGTAGTTCTCCGTAGCAATAATGAATGATAAAGTAAAAACTTCAAGTATGAGACTAAATCAAGTGGAACGTAGATATGTTCCTAGCAATCAACACTTGAGAGCGATAAAAAATCTTACTGGGTCAGGCTTCTTTCGAGGCACTACGTCTCCCGCAAATATCTTGATCTGCTCAGCTCGTTGAGGTCCCAGTAAAAATGATACTATCGCAGAGACCTACAATTGAATGGATGAAGTTCAGCTGTCACAATCATAAACAGATGCAAGAAACATTATTTCAATTAATCTAGTTTCAAACACTAGAGTTTTCTTGTAGTGTCTACAATCAATATAAAGCATCGTTCTAGAGGAAAAAGAAAGTTTCTACAACAATAGTAAGAATAAATATCTGTAAAGCTATATCAGATCAAATGTCTTTCTCCAAAACATATATAGTGCAGGGAACATTTAAAGATGATCTTCCGAAAATTACAAACACAGACAACTATATTATAGAACCTGGCAATGCATACCGCCTTCTCATTAGAAGTGCTACAAACAGCTACTTTCACTCCGTTTCCTAATGCCTGATCTATTAACCTGCATAAGGCAGACATCTCCAAATAAGACAGACATAATAAGACTATGTCAATGAGAACATCTCCAAATAAATACAATTATTTAGCCCCTGTTTGATAACCATTTGGTTTTTAATTTTCAAAGATTGTGCTTGTTTACTCCCCGTTTCTTGATAGTAGTTTTCATCTTTATATGAAAAAATTTGAATTCTCAGCCAAATTCCAAAGTCCAAAATCAAAATTTAAAAAACTATATTCTTTTACCTTCCAAAATTTGGCTTCGATAACAAAAAAGAAAAAAAAAAAAAGGAACTCATAGGTGATAGTTGCGTTTATAAGCTTCATTTTCAAAAAATTAGGAACCAAGACTTACTAATCATTTACTCAAATCATGTTAGACCATTGTATTTCAATCCCAAATGGCTAAATTTCTTTTTCAATGCATTTTCTTCATGGTTCTGCATTCCCATTCCGATAACATATATAACTAACTGCATCAATATTACAGTATGCATGAAGCTCAGAGGAGTTAGTAAGGTAACTGACTTTGCAACACCAGGTCGAAGGGGTAGCAATTGCTTCTCAATAAGAGCCATGAACAGATCTGTCTTTCGCTTGTGAAGTCCAGCTATGAATGTCTTTCTTTCATCTTCACTCTTTGGAGCCTTTTCAGGCCATCCAACTTTATTGAAGTACGCTGTCATCCTACAAAAAGTCAAATACCATACAAAAACAGCCACCATTTTATTCCAAGAACTCCAACCAGAAAACAAAATTTTATTCAAATGCGTGAGCGACTGATGTAAGTGCAAATGAACTTCAATTATCAAAATTTCGTAGCCGATCAAATTTTGAGTAATTACCTTTCTTTTCCACCTCCAATTTTGAGTAATTCACCATACAAATCTACATCCCAGGTAACGCCCAATTCTTTCTGTGGAATCATTTCAATTACGTTACTGTTAGGTTTAGACTACCCGTTAATCAAAACTAGTATAGTCCCGAATCAACCAACTGAATCAGGAAAAAAATTCAATCAACCAAATGCCATTAAGTTCTTTGGAGTTTAATACCATCGCCAAGTACTAAACATCGCTTATTATTGAAACTGCCCAGTTCAAAAATCGGCGACAGAGACGCAGACAAGCAAAGAAGAAATAGAGAAGAAAAGAGCGAAACCTCTTGAAAAGTCTCATTGAAGGAAATCCGATGGCCATCCTTTTCAGTATCGACGAGAACCCCATCGCAATCGAAAAGAAGGGCAGACGGAAGAACAGAGGAAGAAGCCTGGCAATTGATCCCAATAGAAGCATTCTTAGCGCCGATTGGCCTGGTTCTCGAAGATCGATACAAACGTATCCGTTTGCCCACAATGGAAGTGGATAAACTTGTGGTATTGGGTTTGAAATAAGCAACGGTGGTGGAACTGGGAAGGCAAGGCGTTTTTGAAGTAGAAATCGAAGCTGAGGAGACGGAGAGTGTAGTTGCCGCCATCGGAATCCAGTCTCCTTTCTCCTCTGTTGCTTTTCTGAACTATTAAAGTTGGAATTCAGTGGAGCATTTTAACGGCTTTCACGACGAGCTTATCCACCGGAGAACCACAGAATCGTTTTTTAGGGAGGCCCTTAGCATGGACTGCGCGCCACAAGGCGCTTCCATCCAAACGATGTCGTTTTTCTGAGAATAACGGTTCGGTCGTTGAATACAAGATCCATTAGTTAAATATTTGGAAAAAAAAAAAAAAAATCAATAAAAATATTATTATATATATTGTGTGTGTGTGTCTTTTTTTTTTAATTAAATAATAAATTTGTTGTTTTTTTTTTTTTTAATTTATAGAGGTTAAATTATAATTTTCGTTGGATCATAGGAATAAAATTTGCATGTTACCTAAAAAAAACTATTAGGGACTTGAGGAAATGTTTATCCTTTAATTGATAAGGCTATTTACGTCTTTTTGATTGTTAAATAGGTTAATATTCCAATGTGGCGAAGTGCTAAAACCCTGGAATCATTCTGGCTTCAATAAAGAAGAAAGCCCATTCTACGAAGAAGGTTTCTCTGCTCTCATGGCGACTGCAGTGGTGGCGGAATCGGCTCGGAAACTACCTCGGCCTGGCCGGGGGGGATTCGAAGGTCATGGGTTTTCCGAGGAGGAAGGACGAGTTCGTGCCATTGCTGAGATTGTCAATTCCATGGTCGACCTTTCACGAAAAGGGCAAAACGTCGATCTGAACGCTCTGAAATCCGCTGCCTGCCGGAAATATGGCCTTGCACGGGCCCCAAAGCTTGTCGAGATGATTGCGGCGCTTCCCGAGTCGGACCGCGAGGCACTGCTGCCGAAGCTTCGAGCCAAGCCGGTTCGAACAGCCTCCGGTATCGCAGTCGTGGCGGTGATGTCTAAACCGCATCGGTGCCCTCATATTGCTACGACGGGGAATATTTGTGTATACTGCCCCGGAGGACCTGATTCGGACTTTGAGTACAGTACTCAATCTTACACTGGTTATGAGCCCACAAGCATGCGTGCAATTCGTGCAAGGTTGGTTGTAACTTGTAACTTCTCAAGTCTCGAACTTTTTGCTTCACGAGTATTTGTTCCATCTTTATTATTATGTTATTGGATGCCTTGCACATCTATGTCGAGGAAAGAGCGTGTTTAGAACACAGTATTTTGGCTAAGAAAGTATTAAATTTCTAAATTCATGGATAAAATATTTTTAGCCCAGAGTAAACCGAGGTGGGGTTCTTTGAAACTACTACGGGAGTGAAGAAAATGAATGCGAGTAACTGGCATCTGCTTGTCGTGGAAAATTAACTATAAGAAGCATGCTTTCCTTGGCCCAGTCTGTTTGCTTCACTAGATATATGAATATCTTTAGGGTGTACTACAATCATTGTTGCTTTTGCTTGTCAGTTCTTAATGATATTGAGTTGCTTTGCATACGTTCTGAGATCATTTTCATCTTACCTGCCACCGCTTTGATTGTAGATACAACCCATATGTCCAGGCTAGAAGTCGGATAGATCAACTGAAGCGTTTGGGCCATAGTGTTGATAAGGTTCCTTTTTCTTCTCTCCAAATTTTTTTTTCTATCATAGTAAAATATCATAAAATTGTCTGTTTACTTTCAGGTTGAGTTCATCTTAATGGGTGGGACTTTCATGTCACTGCCAGCTGATTATCGTGATTACTTTATAAGGAATCTTCATGATGCTTTGTCAGGGCATACATCTGCCAATGTTGAAGAGGCAGTTGCCTACTCTGAGCACAGTGCAGTTAAATGTATTGGCATGACAATAGAAACGTGAGTTTTCCCCCCAAACTTTCAAGTTTTGAGCTTTACATTTCCTCGTCTCTGTATTATACCAGTTCAAACTGTTTCAAACTTTTATCTTTGTGAATTATTCATTGGATACGTTATTACTGCAATTAAGATCACGTACGACCACTCCTTGCCGTGGTCTATTATAAGCTCCTGAGACTGTGTTTTTGTTTAATTAGTAAAAAAAAGATTTCATTGCTTATCTGTTTTTGCTTAACCAGGAGGCCTGATTATTGTCTTGGACCTCACTTGAGGCAAATGCTTTCTTATGGTTGTACACGCCTGGAGATCGGAGTTCAAAGTACATATGAGGATGTAGCTCGAGACACTAACAGAGGGCATACTGTAGCTGCTGTGGCTGATTGCTTTTGCTTGGCAAAGGATGCTGGTTTCAAGGTTTGTAGTAGCAAATTTGCAAAGAATAAAGCTAACTCATTGATAAACCATTTGCAAGGCAACCTTAGATCTGTGGCCAGTTAAGGATTTAAATTTATTGTTCATGTGACTTGATCTTCTCTTAGTAGGTTTTCTCCCCATTTGGCATTCCTTGAAGTTTGGGTAGCATCATCATCATGTTGCATTGTTAACAATGCATCTTTTTACATTTTTCTGAAGTTTGAAATTAACTTTTTGCTTTTCTTGTAGGTTGTAGCACACATGATGCCTGATCTTCCTAATGTTGGGGTTGAGAGGGACCTGGAAAGTTTTCGGGAGTTCTTTGAGAACCCTTCATTTAGAGCAGATGGGCTCAAAATATATCCCACGCTTGTGATCCGTGGAACTGGGCTCTATGAACTATGGAAAACTGGCAGGCAAGTAGCTATTTGTACAATCTCACTATGGAACATTGTTATTTTCTCAAACTTGAAAAGAGATGTTCGAATCATGACCCTTGTTTTATAAATTAAATGATCATGTTCCCAATTGAAATATTTTTGTGTGAAAATAGTAATGGTGATAACTATTGCAGATCATCATAAATGTTCATGCATATGCAGGTATAGAAACTATCCACCAGAGCAACTTGTTGATATTGTGGCGAGAATCCTAGCTCTGGTACCTCCCTGGACTCGAGTATATAGAGTACAACGGGATATCCCAATGCCTCTGGTTACTTCTGGTGTAGAGAAAGGAAATCTTCGAGAGTTAGCTCTAGCTCGAATGGATGATTTGGGCTTGAAATGCCGTGATGTTCGGACTCGAGAAGCTGGAATTCAGGTTAATTAACAAATGGAGCTTTATGTTCTTTAGTCACACTTCTTATATTCCCAATTTAAACCTAGTACTCTGCCTTAGTGAAGGATGTTAAAAGCCTTCCCATTTTGTGACTTCAGGACATTCATCACAAGATTAAACCTGAAGAAGTTGAGCTTGTCCGTCGTGATTATATGGCCAATGAAGGCTGGGAAACGTTTCTATCATATGAAGATGTTCGGCAGGTATCTTATCCCCATACCCCATGTCCTCAGTTTTTTCATGCAATTACAAATTCAAGGCTAATGCTGTGTTACAATTGTGATGCATGGCCATAGCTTGCATGTTGTAGGCTCGTATTACTAGAACTTGAATTTTTATGCAGGACATTCTTGTTGGTCTGCTCCGGCTGAGAAGATGTGGTCGCAACACCACTTGTCCTGAGCTGGTTGGGAAGTGTTCCATTGTTCGTGAACTCCATGTGTATGGAACTGCCGTTCCGGTTCATGGACGTGATACTGAGAAGCTACAACACCAGGTAATACAGCCCCCTCTTTTCTACAAGCTGCATTAAAGAGGAAAGAAAATCCTTTTCTATGCAAAAGAATTAAGAGTATTACTGGATCTTTAGGGTTATGGCACGCTTTTGATGGAGGAGGCAGAGCGGATAGCTCGAATGGAGCATCGATCAACAAAGATTGCTGTTATATCAGGCGTTGGAACACGTCATTATTATAGAAAATTAGGCTATGAACTAGAGGGACCTTACATGGTGAAAAGCCTGGACTGATGAGATTGAATCAATTTTGTTATGATGGTATCACTTAAATGCTATGTTGTATGCTTCTTTTCCTTTTATTGCCCTCAAAGTTGATCCTTTCGTTTTTGGTAATTGATTATTTTTCTTACTTCTATACTTGGTTTGAAATATATCTCATTCGTCCCTTGGTTATGTATAATGGATAAATTTCTTCCTAGTGTTGCATTATTTCTTTCAAAACTCGCTCTATTTGTTGATGTAATAAAAGTGGGTAAATAAATTTGTTTTAGAAATAGATAAGTAAAAAGATAACAACCGTTGAAATAAGTAATCCAATGTTTTACCCAAATGAGAGAAAATTTCAACTTTTTTTTAAGGACTTAAATTTATAACTTTTTCCTCCCAGTATGTTCCCTCGGAAGAACAATCCTTTCTTGGTGTCGGTTTGGGTTCTCCAGGCTGCGGGAGTAGAAGGAATACGATGTTGATGCCGATGTGAAGGACATGGCTACGGATGTTGTGATGCTCTCTCCCTCAGAACTTCCTCAGGACTTGATTTGCAATCTTTTGAAGAAGCATATGGTGGTAAACTCTTCTATATTCTCTTTGCAGGGCCTATCAACATTACATCAAAAGTGGCCGTGTGGTTTGCTTGGATGACCAGAGGAGAGCTCTAACAGTTGATGAATGCAGTGGCATCCTATTTACCCTAAATGGAAACTTTAAATCCAACCATAAAAAATTTGTTTTCGTTGGTTTCTAGTGGTTAAGACATTTGACTTTCACTCAAAAGACCGGATTCGATATTTGGCACCATAATTTTTTTTTCTCATTATTTTTAAATGTTACTTGAGTAACCAACAATAAATAAATAGTATGTAGCAGTAGTGGAAATTTACTCATATTTGCTTTATAAACTTTATGTTCCAAGTAAAATCATTAACTTCAATACGATTTGTGTTCTTTTAAAAAAAAAAAAAAAAAAGAGTTAGTTTCTGCCCAGTAAACTTTTAAATAAATCAGCCTTAGTTTAATGACTGACATGGCGAACAACAATGAAAGGTAACATCAATCTAATGAAAGAACTAAATAAAAAAAGAATCCAGCTCTATAATAAATAAGGAATGGTGATTCTGATTATCCAACAAATATTTCAGTCACCTTTATCTATACACTCATCATTTGCAAACAAAAATTCCTAATTACTTATTTTTTCTTCTTGCCTCTTTTTCTTGAACTGGTTTCAGGAGCTTCTGCCTCTTCTGCCTTTTGTTCTGCCTCCAGTATGGCAAGCTTATTCAAAGGAAGCAGTAAAAGAATTAGAATAAGAATATTCTGAATAGC